GGCCCCAGGAAAAGCCTGTGTGGGAGTGGAAAGCTGACACAGCCTACAATCCCCATAATGAGGAGGGGAAGGGAAAGGAGTTTGTAAGCCGCTCTGAGACTCCTTTGGGTAGTGAAGGGCGGGGTATAAATCCAATCTCCTCTCCTCTCCTCCATTCCCAATCTCAACTGTAAAGAGCTTTTTTAGACAGAGCAGAGGCCCTTTCGCTGCATACCTCCCCAGAGCATCTTTAACGCAGATGGCGGGGATTGAACTTGGGGAGTCTTCGGCATGGGGAACAAGCGCCTTGCCACCGAGCCGTGGTCCCTCCCTTCAAAGCTGCATGGGGATATGTTTATTGTAGTACAAGGCCTCGTTTCTCCTGGTCTCAATAGTACTTGTTGTCTGGTCCTCTGAATTTCTGCTGCGGTATCTAGGGTCAAGCTACACATGGGCAGTAGACGTCTAATCCCCCCCCCCTCGGACACAAAACAATGCATACAGGTGAAGAGAGCCAAATCCTGTCCCGTCCTTGTCCCTAAATACACAAAGCTGCCTTCAGACCCTTGGTCCATCAAGGTCAGTATTGCCTACTCAGACTGGCAGTGGCTCTCCAGGGTCTCAGGCAGAGAGGTCTTTCCCATCACCTACTGCCTGGTCCTTTAACTGGAGATGCTAGGGATTGCATGCCAAGCAGAGGCTCTACCACTGAGGGACCTTCTGCATGCCAAGCAGAGGCTCTACCACTGAGCCAGGGTCTCAGGCAGAGAGGTCTTTCCCATCACCTACTGCCTGGTCCTTTAACTGGAGATGCCAGGGATTGAACCTGGGACCTTCTGCATGCCAAGCAGAGGCTCCACCACTGAGCCACAGCCCCTCCCCTATAATCCATGACTGCACGAAGCTGTCTTCAGACCCTTGGTCCGTCAAGGTCAGTCTCGTCTACTCAGACCGGCAGGGGCTCTCCAGGGTCTCAGGCTGAGGTCTTTCCCATCACCTACTGCCTGGTCCTTTAACTGGAGATGCCGGGGATTGAACCGGGGACCATTTCCATGACATACAGATGCTCTACCACAGAGCCAAGGTATTTCCTACTACCTATTACCCAGTCCTCTTGGCTAGAGATGGCTGGGATTGAAACGGGGACCCTTCTGCATGCCACACAGATGCTCTGAGTCAGGGTCTCACATCAGGATCTTCCCCATCACCTACTAATGAATCCTTTTGACTGGAGATGCCGGTGGTTGAACCTGGGACCTTCTGCATGCCACGCAGATACTCTACCATTGGCCACAGCCCCTCCCCTCAGCCCTACCTCTTGGCAGTCTGGTGTTCAGAGTGTTATTCTCTGAGCCTGATACCCCCCCCCCAGCATAGAGCTGGAAGGAACCCCCAAGGG